CACACACACACACACACACACACACACACACACACACTCACACACTTCATGAGAAGTATGGAACAATGGGGGAAAGGATGCTGTCCTCCTCCTTTCCATCCAGGAGTCTCCCTGAAGCTCAATGCTGTCCCTTCCTCACCCCACATCCAATCTTCCTATATCACCAGATTCTCAACTCAGATAAAAAAAATGAAGGCTGGAGAGAATGGCAGGAGGTGGGTGTGAGTCAGTGGGGAAAGGGCCAGAGTGATCAAAAGTCTGACTGATTTTCAAATTTATTTTAGCCCTCCCACCCCCATCCAGTTCTGCTGTAGTAGGAATCAAGACAGGCAAGAGTGGGATTCCAAGCCTATTTAGAGAATGTATTGTAAAACACATACATATGTAAAGCGCTTAACACAGGCCCAGCCCTGTGCCGAGCACTTCACCTTGATGGCTCATTTAATTTTCACAACACCCCTAATAGTAGATACTATTGTCCCACTTTTTCAGGAGGAAGCCCAGGCTTTAAGAGGTAAATTTGCACAGCTAGTGAGTGAGGAGTCTAGATTTTAATGCTTGCAGCCTGACTCCTCCCCACTAGGATACATTGGGTGTTTAGCTGTGACTTCCCCTCTAACTGGGAAAAACCCCAATCCTCTCCCACAGAGCCTCAGCCAGTGATACTGCTTCCCGGATGAGAAGGGCGGCCCTGAAGCCCAAAGCAAAGCCAGCCCCACTGCCACAGTCCTTCCAGCCTCCTCCCAGCTCCCCAACAGTCCAGACCCCCTGGTGCTCCGAAGGAAACGCAGGCGAGTGTCACTCTCTCTCAGGGAAGAAGGGATTGGGGCTTGGAGACCATTTCCTTTACTGCATGGTCCACAGGTGTTCCTAGGGATGAATTAGAGGGGTGTGTGTGTGTGTGTCCCAAACCCATAGTCCAAACGGCAAGACAGAGCAAGGGCCCCTAAGCAGGACCAGCGTGAATGGGCCAAGGGGTGAAGAGCCAGGAGACAAGTGGAGGTTGGAGACCCCCTGGGGCTGGAGAAGGGGGGCACTGGCCAGGCTGTGAAGAAATCTGGTTTGACGCAGAGTTCTGGTCTCTCCCGCCACGGAGGACCCTTAGCAAAGTATCTCTGCCCTTGGGTCAAAGCTGAGTTGTGTACTATAGAATGCTCAGCTTCCCTTTCTTGTCTCTTCAGACCCAGAATCTTTCCCCAAAGCCTCCTGGTCCCTGTGATCTGCTACCTGGGGGACACAAGGCTGTTTTCCAGGTCTCCTTTCTCTTCCAACCCTCTCTTCTCCCCACTAGGCATTTGCTGGTCCTGATGTCAGTCACGGTCAGCATGGAGTCCGGCCCCTCTAAGGAAGTCACTGCCGGGTCTGCCGGCGACATCGGAGAGATCCACAACTGGACTGAACTGCTCTACTTCTTCAACCACACTATGCCTGAGTGCCACACTGAGCTCAACGAGAGCACCAAGCGAGTGGCCCTCTTTGTCCTCTATCTAGCCATCTTCGTGGTCGGGCTGGTGGAGAACCTCCTGGTGATCTGGGTCAACTGGCGCTGCTCGGGCCAGGCAGGGCTGCTGGGCCTCTACATCCTCAACATGGCCATAGCGGATCTGGGCATTGTCCTGTGTCTGCCCGTGTGGATGCTGGAGGTCACATTGGACTACACATGGCTCTGGGGCAGCTTTGCCTGCCGCTTCACTCACTACTTCTACTTTGCCAACATGTACAGCAGCATCTTCTTCCTGGTGTGCCTCAGCATTGACCGCTACGTCACCCTCACCCACGCCTCTCCCTCCTGGCAGCGCTACCAGCACCGAGTGCGGCGGGCGGTGTGTGCAGTTGTCTGGGTGCTCTCGGCTATCATCCCGCTGCCCGAGGTGGTCCACATCCAGCTGTTGGAGGGCTCTGAGCCTATGTGCCTCTTCTTGGCACCTTTTGAAACCTACAGCACATGGGCCCTTGTGGTGACCCTTTCCACCACCATCCTGGGCTTCCTGCTGCCCTTCCCTCTTATCGCTGTCTTCAACATGTTGACGGTCTGCCGGCTTCGGCAGGCAGGATGGCCCGAGGGTCGGCGCAACTGCCTGCTGGTGTGTGCGTACATAGCTGTCTTTGTCATCTGCTGGCTGCCCTACCATGTGACCCTGCTGCTACTCACACTGCACGGGACCCAAATTTCCCTCCACTGCTACCTGGTCCACCTGCTCTACTTCTTCTACGACATCATTGACTGTTTCTCCATGCTCCACTGTGTCCTCAACCCCATCCTTTACAACTTTCTCAGTCCTAGCTTCCGGAGCCGGCTGCTGAGCGCTGTGGTTCATTACCTTCCCAAGGTCCAGGCTGGGGCAGGCAGACGTGCCTCTTCCTCCTCCTCCACTCAGCATTCCATCATCATCACCAAGGAGGGCACCCAGCCCACTGCAGCAGGCCCCTACCACCACTCCAGCCTGAACTTTCAGGCACCAAAGACTTCACCCATCTCTGCTCCTCAATCTCTTATAGCCAGCTGAGGTAGATTCCAGTCTCTCCCTCAGTGAAGCAGAAAGCTGGAGGTGTGAGGGAGAGATTTGTGGGGAGAGGGAGCGGGGGAGAGGGTCAGAACACTCATGGTCAATTTCGAGTTTATCTTGTATCTTGAGGTGGGGAGAGGGAAAAGGGGCAAGGAGGGATAAAGAACGTGTCCTTGGTGTTGTACTGTTTGTCTCATTCCTTGTGTTTAATGCAGTCACACAGGAAAAAAGATGAAATAAATAATAGAAACAGCCATGGCTCTGGATCTCTGCAAAAATGTGCACTCGCAGCAGTGATTGAGAAAGGCGCTAAGGCTAAAGAGATGCTTAGCAGAAACTAGACAAACTCATTGCAGAAATTACCCTGTCCGGAAAGAGTGAGCTCCACAGGAACCTCACAAAACTTTCCTTTTGTGTTTGTGTGCTTGTTTATCTCCCAGCACAGCATGCCGACTGTGGGGACAAGAGGCCAGAGGCCAAGGAACCAGGAGGCCTCAGCAGGACGGTTTCCTAGCAGTGCATCCTCAGTGCTGTGATAAATGCAGGGAGTGGGGAAGCAGTGGGGGGTGGGGGAGCCAAGGTCTGAGCGCCAGGCACCCAGCAGCTGGGTTGGCAGAATTGTTCTCCACCCCCTTCCGCCCTCCAGGAAACTCTCCGTTTCCTTAATGATACTCTCCCCCTGGCTTGTTCATCCTGCTCCCCTCCCCCCAAAGCAGAGAAGCCGTCCCAGATGGGACAGTGAAGATGGGCTCCTCACAGCCCATCTCCTCCCAGCTTTGGATCTATACATTTTGGATCGAAGGAAAGACGTTATCAGAAACCCACCCCTGTGGAAATCTGTATCTACAGTGCCCCTGCTCACTGGGTCCAAACCTCAAAGGGTCTTAAACTACCAACAGTTGCTCCCTTTCTCTCCAGATCACAGGAGAATATCCAGGGACATCCATTCTGGGCGCAGACCTTGGGGCAGCCAGCAGCAGGCACTGACAGGTGCTCTGTCCCTCAGCCTTTGTTCCCTTCACAGGACAGGGAAGTAGAAATTTTCCAATTCTGTCACAGGGCAGAGTTCTAGTATTCTTCTGTCAGTTCTCACCTGTATACTTTTCTCTGGCCTAGTTTTTTAAATAATTTATCTGTCTTCTATTCACAATTGTCCTATAGGTAGGAAAAGAAAATCTCTTAACAAGTAGGACTTCTGGAAAAGCTCATTTGTCAGTTTGGGAAACTAGGACCATGTCCATGAAGAACTCTGACTGAAGTAAAAGCCTTAGAACAGGTCCAAGTCCACCAGTGCCAAGGCTTGGTCTTAATCCTGCCTCTGGAGATGGGATGGCTTGTGGACATAACCACTGAGAGCCTCTGTCCTGCTCAGCACTGTGTGTCTGTCAAGTTTAACTTGGAATAACTCCTCAATGACCTGGAGTGCTGTCTCCTCTGCTTTTAGAAACATGAAACTGGATTCACCAGATGCATTAAACACGTGCTCCAATTGGTGTATGTACCCATTTGTCAGGAGCATGGGTGGAAGGGGGGGGATCTGTATCTACAGTCCCCCTGCTCACTGGGCCCAAACCTCAAAGGGTCTTACGCTACCAATAGGTGCTCAGTGGCACAGAGCTGAAGGCTTTTTCAACCAAGAGAGACTGGGTTGTGACCTGGGGTTGCAGTTAAGGGCTTAACCTAACAATGCAGAAAACGCATTAAAAGAAACTTTCTTCCCTTATGCCCACATAAAAACCAAGCCAACATCCAATTCCCCTATCACTGCCTCCTCTGACTTGGGTTCCAGGAGTTTCATAAAGGAAATCCAATTTTACATATCACATTCCAGGTTACCTCAGATCTTGGCCACTTCCCAAAGATCGTCAACCAGTTATCACCCTGGCAGCATGAATACTTCCTTGGAGCCTTGAGAGGGAACTGGCTGTGCTGACTGTTCAGCGTTGGGAGCCAGGCCCGGGGCAATGTGGTCTGAGACCAAATGGACCACATCACACCATATCTTCAACAGGAAATGATGCCTAACTTTCACCTCCTGTGTTTGTTCGTCTCTCTCCACTCCAACATACCATGTCACAGTGAATTAAATGGCACTGGCAAGACAATTTGTGGCCACATCTTGAGTCCAAATAGACATTTAGCAGAGTTCCACTGCTCTCTCTGGGCCAACAGACGATTCCCCTCATGGATGTCTCCCTGAAAAGGATGGGTCATTGACTTAATTTTCCACAATAAACAGGTCAACAAGTTAACCCTGGGGAGTTCCAGCTACAGGAAAGAAAAATGTACTACCTGAAAGAATTCTGCTGAGCAGAATACTGCTGCTGAAGGGATGGCGGCACAGATATTCTGAACTCATGCGATGAGCATGATCACAGCAAATAGGAAAAGAACTTCCATATCCGATTTCCTTTTTTTTATTCTAAATAAAAAACCACACTTTGTGCCGAACAATGGAATATAAAAGAATCAGATGTACAACGATTTTAGACATCTACTATTTGGGGGGGAAAGTTTACAAAATATACAAAACTTTACAGCAATAGATAGTAAACACTTAAATATTAGGAGGTCAGTACTTATTAATTTAATGGAAGGAGTTAGACGTCAACAACTCTTCTCCATTTCATAAGAAACTTGAGCTAGTAGAGGTGGGAGGGGAGGGTGGACTGGACACAGGAAGGGTGTTAAAGAAACATGGAAATCCAAACAGTTTTATTTTCATCCTGATGTAAAGCTTATGAGTAACCACACTGACATGAACGCTGTGTGCCCTGCTTCCTGACTCATTCAGTGCAGGTTTTAGGAAAATGGATGTGTAGGGACTCCCAGATGGGCACCGACTTCTCCACACAGCCTCCTTCCACACCAACAAAATCAGTGTCCATCTATAAAGGGATTTAAATTCACTTCCACCGTTGAGTAAGCTGGGAAAATAGGGCACAGCAGGGGGCCGGAAGAGAAAGAAAACTTATCAGTAGCAAAACCTGACTGGCAAGAAGGTATTTAAACCCAAAGGCTTGTCCTGAAGACAAAAAGAGTGCTTGCTGACAGATCAGAAGAGAAGTCAAATAGAACTTTTACTCATTTTCTGGTTCTTAGGGGTCACCTGGGCCAGACCCCTACCCTCACCTCCTTTCTTCCCAATTAGCCATCAACTATAGAGAACCCATGGCATCTTAACATTTAGGACTAAATATGAGGGTAAAGCAGAGCTTCTCAGTGGGTGCTGTGGCATCAGTGAGTCATCGGTGGGTCCCAGAAGCTAGGATACTTACTGATCCCCTCCTCTGGCCACATGCAGCCTCTGCTGTTTATCCCAGCGTGCCATACAAGTATTACCCTTTCCCTTAGGAAACAGGTTGGGAATGGCCTCGTGCTTGGTTTAAAGCTCTACAGTTGCCATCTTGAAATTCTTAATTTTTAAACAAAGGGCTATGCCAATTACCTAGTGGGTCCAGGGTACAGAACAAGAAACAGGAGGAAAAGGGAGGAGAAAAGACATTCAAGGGTCAAATAGAACCTCAGAACAATACAGCAGGAGACAGTGCTAAACTGGGCTCCAGGGCAGAGGGTGCAACAAATTCAAATGAACAGAAGGTTGAAATAATAAAACCCAAAATAAAATGAATACCTTCCACCAGGTATCCTAGCGTGCCCTTTGCCACAATATAGTGTTTCAAGTAAAACATTTCAGAAAAGGGTGAGCTAGAGGCAGAGGCAGCAAACATGACTCCAAACGGAGAGAGGGCTCAGGTATGAATATGGGGGACACGTGGAGAAACAGGGTTTGGTCAATGAGCCTCATGAGCTGCTGAACCTGCTACATGTCTGACTGCGACCAACCAGGCCGACCTGATCAACCACTTGGCCTCAGGAGGATCAGGGAGGTGCAGTTTTTTTAGTGTTTCAGAGGCAAAGTTTCAAGGATTTGCTTTTTGGTTTACTGGCAAAAAGGGAATACTTCACAGTTTCAGGTTAAGTATACAGACTACCCAGCATCCATGATGCCCTCTGTTTAGGAAAAGGGTTTCTCCAGCATACTGATCCATTCTCGGCTATCTGGCTGGGTTCCAGTAAGTACCACCTCTCTTAAATGCGGCCATTCAAAAATCAGTCCTCACCAACAGTCTGGGAGGAATCACTCAGGCTTAAGAAGGCTTTGCAGACACTTGATGGTGGACTTTTAACACATGTTCCTTCTTAAACTTCTAATGGTCAGTGTGGGAGAGAGAGGGAGAAGCTAGTCAAGGATGAAAAGTCTCAGTACTGCTTTTCTGATAAGAATGTCCCAAAGGAACATTTCACAAGTTGGATTTAGATGGTGAAAGGTGGCCATTTGTACAAGTCCCTCATATAATGATCACCCCACCAGAGAGCCATGCACTCCAACTCAGAGGCTTTATCCGTTTCGGGCTAGGGAGAGAGGCAGCAGGCCCAACAGGGTTTGCCTGTATGTCTTAATATAACTTCCCAAGTTTAGGAAGGATGAGAAAATGTGCAAAAAAGATCCTTCATGTGACTTGATCCCCTCAGCTCAGTCCCCGATCTATTCCATCACAGAATGGAAGGCCTAGGAACTGAACAAGCCCCAACTTTCTCCTACCTAAAGGGTTCCCTGGGTTTATTCTGCAAGAGACTATCTGGGAATAAAGAAAAGAATTTGTTTAAAGGCTTGACATGTTCTCCCCCAGTTCTAGCCTATTTCCCAAATCTCTGGCCAGGACTGTCCCCTGGAATATGGTCGTGTGCTGGGGAGAAACTCATTTTCCTGAAGTCTCTTAACCAAAAGAGATGCTGGGTAATACATATACAAAAATAAAAATAAATAAATATTAACATCCAAAACGGCTTTGTTAGTTAATTAAAACCACTTGCTGTGAAACAGCCCGGAGTGCTGCTGAGTCCCCCCAGGGGCAATGTCAGGGCCTAGGCCAGGGACTTCCAGAGCTCGCCTGAGCAGGTGAGGTAGTATGAGTTACTGAGGTGCCACCTAGTGAGTACACAAGATTGAGGGCCCTCTCCCTCATGCCTTCTTTGGGCAAGACCCCCCCTCAAAAGCCAACTAAGAACAAAACCAACCAACCCTATAGACTGGGCAGACACATTTCCCAGCCACCTAGGGAGGGTCTGAACCAGTTGCCAACCTATAGCGCCCCCTGGCAGAAATGAAAAGACAGATCAGGGTAAATTCCAGCAGGTCAAAGGTGAGCTGCCAAAGCTCCTGCCCAGTTGCAAAGTAAACAACAGGTTACCCAACTGGGAC